CACAGGAAGTGTTTCATTTAGCAAGAATCAAGAGGTCCAGAACCAAGCCACAAGGTCAGAGGCATCTTTAACGGGGGAGGTTTAGCAGAACCTTGCGAAGCCTTCTGGAAGCCATCCGCCCAAGCCCAGAACTTGTGCTTAGATGCCGGCTCTGCCACTAGGACTGAAAACTAGTGTCACCATGATGCCTCTTGACCTCTAATAACCTGCCACATATTAAATTTTATATATATGTATATATATGTGTATATATACGTATATATGTATATATATGTGTGTGTGTGTGTGTCAAATAGCTTGTTAGATAAAGTAAAATATATGAGAATTTATTTAGATTACTTTGGGGATCCCATAGTCACATGGCCAAAAGGGTTCTGTTCTTAATTCTATTGTCTTATTTGATTTAAATTCTCTCAATATGTGAATCCCCAAAAGTAAGCTGGTCATTAGCAAAGTATTCATTGTACCCCAGTGCAGTCACTTTAAGCAGAGACTGACGAAAGCATCAGAGTTGAGACTACTTTCAACACTTTACCATAAAGGACTAACTCGAACCCCAGGAAATGGACTGTCTGGGTACAGAAACCAGCAAAGAACAACAAAAGTCTGAGCAATAATCTTTTATGACAATAAAAACAACTTCCCATATTCTACTAGTAGAGGGACTCTGAAGGGTCAACACTTTACGAGACTCCAAAGAACAGAAACGCTCCCGATGGCCCCGTGGAGCTCCCTCTGCACACACAGGAATGGCCTGTGGACCGACCCACTCTGAGTTGTTGCCTCCAGAAACCGCAGGGAGGCACAGCAGCCCCGACTGCGCACGCATTCCCACGAGTGTGTGTCACAAAAGTAATAAGACGGTTGTTCAATTGCTTCCAGACCTCAGTTTGATCTGCCTCATCACTTTTATGATGGGTAACATACTACAAACCTGTAATTGCCTGTATTTCCCGCTCACTCCTGGCTCTTGGTGGGGGAGCTGTGGGGAAGGACTATAAGCCTCTTACAGACCGAGAGACCAGGGGTAAGTAGGAGTTTCTCCGGGACGTCCCACCAGTTCTGGCCTGGCTCTGCCTCCGTCCTGGTCTGAAGACAAACCACAACCACACAGTCCCCTTGTAGGACAGGCTGCAGGGCCAAGGGGTGAGAAAGACTGAGAGATAGCTGAAGTCAGCTGTCTGCGACTCTCTGAGTCAGCAGCTTCAAGACCAGAGTGGTTATTGGGAAATAGGCTTCTCTCCCACGAAAAACCCCAAATGTAGCAGCAGCCAAGAGCTCAAAACCAACACACACAGTCCTGGGGTGGGAGCCCCAAGCTGGCCACAGGTGCCGAGGGACTGGGGCTGGAGCCCCTCCCCCACCCGCTCACAGCTGCCTCGGGGACAAGTGGAACAAAGAGCTGCGAGCTACATGGATGTTCAAGGGGCGGCTGCCTGGACGCATAATCAAGTCCTGCCTGGAGTGGCTCGGGTTCAAGTCTTCCTCAATAATCAAAACAACGACCTCGTTCCAGAAACTGCTTTCCTGGGAAGACTTGGATAGCCTCGCCCTGCAGCGTGAGGTGGCTCCTGAAGTGGGGGGAAAGGCGGCTCACCGGGGAAGCAATGGAAAGAGTCAAAATGTCCTAGTCGAGGGCGAGGTAAATGCTGAACTGTAAATGCTCCTTAGGATATAACAGTATGTGAAAAAAGCAAGATACAAAATTGTACACAGCCACAGACACACCAACTTAGAAAAAGTTTAGAAGGAAAAACACTCTTAAAGTACGAGTGATGGAGTCCTAAGTGTATTTCTTTCTGCTCCAGAATATTCTAGACCTCAGAAGAATCCTCCAGCTACCCAGTCATTCTCTTGACGGAGCACATGTGACCGAGGAGGGTGAAAGGAGGTCCTTATCTGCTTCAGCAGGTGGTCCACATTAGTCCCAGTCACCAAGAGGGAGACGGATGGCACAGAATGACCACCCATCCGTTGATTTCCTGGTATTTTTCAGTTTTCTTTAAGACTGTGTATGGCTTTCCTAATGGGAGGAAGACACGGCACCTCAGCAATCCCGGGAAGGTAGTAACTTGATGCATCCTGCATGTGGGAGCCTCAGGCTTCTCAAACCCCCCTTTCTCCACCCAGGGGCAGGGGAGCCTGGAGATACCGCAGGGCTGCATGGAGCGGAGGGGCAGAGAAGCGCACCGGACTCGGCAGGCCTCTGACACGCCAGTAACTCAGAAGAACTGTGCGTTCTGGAGGCTCAGCAGAAGAGCTGCATTTTCACTCAGCTATAGAATATTCCTGTTTTCAAAGCAACAAGTTTTCACTATGGAGCCACTCACACCTCATCTTGCACCTGCCCTGCACCTCCGGGTCCCATTCACAGAACTGTCACGTCTGAGAGAGGAGGCCTCTACCACACAGGGGCCCTGCTTCCTGCCAAGCACGCCAGGTCCTGCACCTACATCTTCTTCAAATATCAAAACAGTGCAGAAACAGGGGTGTTGCCCATTTTACAGACAGGAAACCTGAAAGTCCAGGACAACCCAGGCAGTAGGCTGATAAACTGTGGGGACGGAGCAAGCGTGTCGCCTGACTTAAGCCCTCGCTCCCAGGCAACACGGATGCAGCAGCCTCTGGATGAAGACCTATCAGAGGATTATTTCTGGCTCCTGAGGGGAAAGGAGGGACAGTTCTGTGAAAATATGTGCTAATATGTTTAAAAACAAAACAAACACTGCTGAGAGCCAATTGCAGACACTGCCAGGCTTCTTGGAGCTTTTATGGTAGCTGCTCAAGGGACTGGAAGCTCCATCCCAGCACGCAGGGGCTCTGAGGCAAAGCCCAGGGATCTACAGGGGGAGGCCGCCCCTCCAGCACAGGGCAGCAGCTGTGGCTCCCGGAGCCGTGTGGCACCGACTCACAAGGAAGCCGGTGGCCAGCCAGCCCTCCTTTTGTGCCAGGCAATGTGCTAGGTGCTTCATCCACATTCTCTTATTGCTCAGAACACCTCTGTGCCCACAGCAGCCCAGCAGCGTGTGGTGTTATTATAGTCAGAGACAGGTCTGCCTGATCCTAAGCACGCTTTCTGCTGACCCAGACAGAGCCAGCCAGCTAATCCAATCTATCATCTCCTTGACAGGGAAAGAATGGACGGGCCCCTGTTGCATGTTCAGCACATCAAACCCTAATTCTTCTAACGGCATTCAAATGTCCTGCACTTTCTGGAGTAATTCCAATTTTGAACATGTTGGTCCCACTGCACCCATGGGTGTGCTCCTGCTAGTCTCATGGTGTGGGCAGCCCGGGGAGGCCTCGCTTGCCGACCCACATCTGCACAACCCTCAGCACCTGCTTCTTCCCTGGAGGGATGGGTGCTCCTCTCACAGTGACGGCTCATTTATATGTTGTGATTCGCTTCACACACTTGTGCTTCATCTTCCCGGCTGCTCTCTAAGTTCCTTTCTCACCAACACTTCCCGACTGGAAGGCCATTCTCAAGGAAGGAATCGTAGAAACAGACTACACAACAGAATCCACAGCGGCAGAAACTACAATCCTACCTGAAATGGTTCTGCCTCCTCTACTTGCAGTGGCTGGTGTTGGATGGAACAACCCTTTGGAGACACGATTTTGCACTATCTCATCAGAATGCAACTCTCAGAATGGGAACTGCCCAGCTGTAATTTAATTGGAATCCACATAAAGTCCTAAGCCTAGATTAAAAAACTTAAGTGCTCAAACATGACACAATAAAAACTTGGCTGGGCTATACTTCCAAAAATTTAAAAACTTCAAGTTTTGGTAGTAAAGTTAAAAACAATGTCAATAGCATAATGTGATTGTTGAAAAGAAAAGTGAATGTATCGTTAGGATGTGTCAATGGAAGTGGCATCTGCAGATCACAGGAAGCAAATGCTTGCCCGAGCCCTGGGCTGAGCCTTGGTTATACAGGACAAATACTGTGCTCAATTCTGAGACCATGCGGCACAAAACAGAAAGCCCTCCTGGAGAAGCCTGGAGGAGAATAGGGGAACATAAAGACGTTTCCAGATGTTTCACAGGCTGTCAGGTGGAAGAGGGGGTCTAGAATGAGAACAATTGGGTGAAAGTAATGGAGAAACAATCTGTGTTCAATATAGGGAGAAACTTTCAAACCCTGTCTGTGGGAGGGAGAATAGGGCCCCCCAGAGACATCCATAGCCTAATTCCAGAGCTGTGTCTATGTTACTTGACATGGTAAAAGGGACTTTGAAAATGTAATTAAGTCAAGGACTTTGAGGTGGAAGACTTTCCTGGATTATCCTTTTGGGTCCAACAAAACTGCAAGGCTCCTTATAATAGGGAGGCAGGAGCAAGCGAGCGAGAGATGTGGCAACAAAGCTGAGACTCTTTCTTAGAGCCAGAAAAGCTCTGCGGATGCTGCTCTGCTTGCTCTGAAAATGGAGACAAGTCTACAAGCCAAGGGATGCTGATGGCTCCTAGAAACCAGAAAAGGCCAGGAAACGGATTCTCCCCTAGGCCTTTAGAAGGAACACAGCCCTGCTGACACCCGGATTTTAGCCAGACAGCATCCATCCCAGACTTCTGACTTCCAGAACTTTAACAGGATAAATTTATGTTGTCTTCAGCCACTAAGTTATTGGTACTTGTTAAAGCAGCAATAGGAGATGAATGTGACATCTAACAAGGGAATAATCACTACCAGCTCCAGTGAGCTCCCTGTCCCAGGAGGCAATCAAGAAAAGGCGGAACGTCTAGCTGTCAGGAATGCTGTGGAGGCCAAGTCCTGGGTGACTCATGACAGACGCCTCCAACTCTGAGTCCACGTCATATGGCAGCACCTTCTGCATTTTTTGACACACTGGTCCCCACTCCCAGGCCTGGTGGTGGGCAAGGCTTGCCCTGGTCTCCTCCCAGGACAGTGGTAGTAAGTTAAAGGCATGCTTTGGGGGATGTCCTCACAGCGCGTGGGCCTGGCTCAGAGCAAAGTGCTTGCCCAGGGTGCCTACCTGAGCAGAGGACTCCCTTGTTCCTGGCACAGGAGAAGTTGTCGCACTCGCAGAAAGGCCCGTAGATCTTCCCGAACTCGCTCTCGAAGCAGGAGCACTGGCTGCAGCTGCACTCCCCGCGCCCGCTGCACAGGGGCTTGCCCTCCGCTTCCCGGCACAGGCTCTGGTACCCGCTCTGGTTCTCCCCTTCCTGGCACTCGCACCTGCTGCCCAGGTAGCCGGGGTTGCACTCGCACAGGCCGCAGACGTAAGTCCCGTTCCCGCTGCACCTGGGGCTGTCCGGCTCCAGCCCCGCGCTGCAGCTGCACTTGCAGTTGTAGGTGACCCCCACCTCCAGGCTGTCCCGGAACCCCACGGGCCGCAGCGTGAACGTGTGCTCCGTGTGTCTGCCGGGGCAGCTCCGGGCCTCCACAGACACCTCAAAGGACGCCTGGGCAGAAAGAAGAGTGGGGACGTTGTGCGCACAATGAGTCAGGGTATCTGCACTGCCTCCCAATATCCCAGAGACCTGGCCCAAGAACAGTTCCTCCGAGGTCCCCAGGGGAGAGCTGTGGCTAAACCCACCCCTGTCCACGCACACGGGCTCCAGGAGGAAGAGGCCCAGGCGAGCCAGCTCCACCCTTGATCAAGGAAGACAATTAGGCTTGCCAATGTCTGACCGGCACGGTGCTTGGTTCCTGCATGTTCATTGTCTTTTTAATCCTCACAACCCTGAGGAAATGACTTCCACAGAAAGACAGACTCACTCAGGGGTACACAGTTCTTTTCTTCCCCTTTCTTTTCACGTCTAGCCTACCCTCTCCCCATCTACATTTTGAAAATCATTTACTGGGTGCTTCCTCTGTGCCACGCACTGCGTCACATGCTCCCTGAGTGCATGGGTGCCAGGGTCCACAGACCCCTATGTAGAAAGGTTTCTTCCCTGCTGGAGAAGGGACAATAGGATACCTGGGTCCCCCTCCCAGCGCACCTGCCTCCTCACAGGCACGCCTAAAAGGACACAAGTGGTTCTCGCAGCTGCATCTTTCTTAATCAGCCCACGGCCCTGAGGTCACGAAGTCTTCGCTCATGAAATGTGCCACGCACGAGGACTGTTTCTTTTTAAATAAAGCATGTAAAGAAGCATTGCTAACTCCTGAGCTACTTTTGGGTTGCCTTAGAAACAGGCAGCAAGGTGGACCAAGCTGGCGGCAGGTGGCAGGAAAGATGCCCATTAGCTGCCCACTGGGCTGCAATGTGAGGAAAGCGAGTGCCCTGCTCGATGTGATTCTCCCAGGAAACAGACCATCATTTCTTCACCTACCCTCCTGCCACTGAGAAAGGAGCCACGTGTGGTTAGAATCATCCAGCACTGCCCTCGGAGCAGGGCACTGTGGAAATCCACAGACAGGGAGCTGGCATGCCCTGACCAAACGTGTCCTGAAGTGCTTTTCCCTGTATGGTGGTGCTTCTCCCCTGAACAGTGGTGGTGCTTCTCCCTGAAAGGTGGTGCTTCTCCTCTGAATGGTGGTGCTCCCTACACAGACAGAGGCCTGGGCCGACTCTAGAAACTGATTCACCACGTCTGGCCCAACTGTCTTTATTTTTCAAGTCTCCTTAGATCATTCTAAAGCTCAAAACTGGATTAGGAATCACCTTTAGCTACTGTTATTCTTAATTCTATTATTGGCATTGGAATACAGCTGAGGTTTAAGAAGTCACCAATAACTTGCTTTACGGGGCACTCTTTAGGTAATGAAGTGTACTTTTGGAAAACACTGAATATTTTTTTCTAAATGTTCTACAGATCCCTATCACTTTGGGATCTTTACTAATTCTAAAAAGCCTCCCTTCAGATTCTGTGACATCTAGGGACACCCCAGGGTGGGGACGGGGGTGTGAGAGACTGAAGAGAGAGGAAGACCCAGCTCTCTAGGTCCTAGAGATAGTCCTGCTTGGTAGCAAGCTACAGACTCAAGGAACTCAACAACAGACACCCAGGAGTCAGCGTTAGCCAAAGGATGTCACAGGAGATGACAGGTGAGCTGAAGACGGTGACCAGGAGCCAGGTCAGAGGACACTGGGATAACCAAGCCAGCTGCAGAGAGTTGGGACTAGCTCACCCCAACCTTAATGTGTATGTGGGAGGAGGGGACAAAAAGAGGGATTGACAAAAGCAAGTTCAGGACTAAGTTCCCAGGCCCTGAGGTATACGTGGACTCTCGAGGCACAGTACCAAAGTGGGGACCCACCGGGCACTAAAATCTGCCTTATGACAACATACACTAACAGGTACCAGGTGCCAAGCACCCATGCCTGCCTGGCACTGTGCAGGCATTTCCACGAGCAGCTCATTCACATGCCCTAGAAGGGGGCACCCTCATTTACCAGGGAGAAAACAGGTTGGTGAGCTTTAAGCTGGTATCACAACTGGTGAGAGGCTTGGCCTGTGCTCTCCTTGGTATGTCACCTCCTGGAAGTGGGAATGAGGCAGACAACCAGTGTCCATATCTGGGTACAGAGGGAGAGGCGGCCTGACTCACTGTGGGGACTAGAGGATGACCTCCAAGGGCCAAAGGCTCCTTCAAATCTTCCTGCCTTGGCTCGGGATAACCTAAGCCCGCAGATGAGGAGGGGAAACTGTGCCTGATCGGAGCCTCCCACGGGGACATCAAGAATGCAGAGGTGAGCATCCCCCTCTTCCGAAGCTTGGAGAAAAGCTGTGACTTGCTCTATGGCCTGGTTCCCAGGGCTACGGCTTTGCTGCACTTATCAGATGAAAAGCCTGGCCCCCAAAGGCATCTGTGGGTCAGAAGTGGGAAAAAAACTACAAAGGAATGACCTGGACCAAGAGCCAGAGCCATTTAATTATTGAAACTCTGTGGGAAGTGTCCATCTGTGCGCATAACCTTCCCCTAGGAAATCCTGCCTGCGTCACGCGACAAAGAAGCGAAACAGAATGGTTTCTCCCCAATCTCGTTCATGTATCTATTTGCTGGGAGTGAGCGGAGAGGTTAGGGGAACCCCCGAATCAGTGCTGGCAGCGATCACTCAGGATTTAGAAAAGCTCACACCCTGGCTGCCTGGCGGGGAAACAAGGAGGACCTGACTTTTAGGCAGGTCCGGTGGCCTTCCCCAGTCCTGGCATGCAGCCGGCCGCCAATGACCACAGAATGGCTCTATTTCAGCCACTGGGTCTCAGGTCCTGCTGGGCACAGGAGTGCTATAAAAAGCTCTTTGGGAACAGCACGTAAATCTGTTCTGGACTCTTCCTTTCAGGGTATTTCCCTACAGGAGCAGGGAAGAATCTGGAGTCCGGCACGCATCTGGAAGGTGGCGCTTCTTCCCTGAGTACTACGGCCTCCGGCTGATCCTGAAGGTTCCCCGGTTCCTGGAGCTTCCCGCTCCCCACTCGGAGATTCCAGGGGAAGGTCAGGGACAGAGCAGCCCTCCC